CACGCTCACACGCGAAAGTGTTTTCGAGTATGTATACATTCTGTATAATGAGGCAAATTTTATGCAGCTCATTTGGGCAATGGCATGGGGTAAGATAAAATATACGGATGTCATTGGGTATTTTGATATGATAAGTACATTTATTCATCACTCAGAATGCAAATTTCTAGTTTAAATGGTAATGGTAGTGAATGCAGTCCAACAGAAATTTGCCTGTGCAATTACGAAGTCTTGTAGAAACAGAATGACGTATTATGACAATGATACTCAAATCTGTTAATAAATCTATTCATCCAGTTTGCGCGTGCTATCCATGCAGTGATTTAATCTGATAGGTTTATAATTTTCGAGTTTAGATGAACAAACACCCTAAAACAGGTTAACATGTATGAGTGACAACAACTAGTCCACCTATTTTAAAATTTAGAGCAAATCAAATAGAGGATCGGAAGGTTCTTGAAACCGAGGTACTGGTGAAGCTGGAAAAGTTTACGATATATATTTGTAGCTTTTTATAACTGTAAAATAACAGGCGGTGAGAAAGAAAAAAAAATCATATTTCAATACATATCACTTTTATAATACAGACAGTCACCTATGAATTGGAATAATATCGGGTAATAAGAAGCTTCCTGTGTTGTAGTTATGTATTGTTCAACCAGTAGGCAATTAAGCTTTGTGTAATTCCACAATCAAAGTCTTTCTACCTTTGCAATAAGAATGAAATAAGCGAGAAAAGTAATTATTATTATTATTATTATTATTTTTTTTTAAGAGAGACAGAGAGAGAGAGAGGGCGCGATTACGTACTTGCATATTTGAGGAGAAAGCTCTGGTCTATTGAGGCAATATCATTACATCAGATTTCATAATAGGAAAGAGGCGCGAGTTTGTGACTGCATCTTCCACTACAGAGAAATAATGTGATTTATAATAAAAAAAAAAAAAAAGCTCAGTTAACGCTGCTATTGCCATGTGATATATATGTATTTTATTGTTACCATTGGATTTAATTTTCACTTGAAGATGGTTCTTAGCTATAAAGCTCTTAAAAAATGATTTGGAAGATTTAGGCACTAATGATCATACCTTAAAGATTAATATGAGTGGCTAATTATGGAATCCCAAAGTCTGAAGAGGGAATTTTGCACCCATTTATAATATCCGTATCTCCTAGGCTTTGATAAAAACACGTAATTACTTGTACTTACATTTACTTTTGTAATAAATATACAATAAATATGTTATTTGAAAAACCTTGTATATAAAGACTTGCCCGTGATACCGTGGTCAAATAATAATAATAAAAAAATAAAATTACTTGGACTCAGTGGACTCAAAGATGTATACGGGACTTGGTGGCCTGTACTCCCGGGACTCAAAGGAAGCAGACTCATACGAGTCGGGGAAACGAGCCTCGCCTTCGTAGTTCACCTCGGCCACGTATCCGTCGTCACCGTCTACGAAGTACTTGACGTTCTGCAGACAGGTATCGGGAAGCTTCACGTAGTAGGATCCCTGAGTGTGTTCACCGTCACGGGCTTCCTCGTGGCCGAAGGCGTTGACGGAGTCTTCGTGCTGAACAGCACAATTGAAGTCGTACTTGGTTTCTCCTGAGTCATACGACTCGAATGACTCTTCGGAGGAACCCTGTAAAGAGAAATATTACGCATGTGGTTTATGCCGACCTAGTAATATATAGTCACATAAACAATACATAGCATCACCATGGTCTGTCACCGGGTCTTTCCAATTTCTCTTTCTACTGATATGATTGCCTTCACTTCTACTATAGTGTATGTAACACACTTACTTAAGTAAACAACTTGGCAGAATATTGTATTATTATGCGCGTGCTCAATAGTATGTATCTGAAGTGCTAAATGTTTAAATATGACATTACGTTGGAGTGGAAAATAGGCGCAAACCCTACAATACATAAGGATAAGTCCGATATGCGAAGCTGAGCCTCGCCCGGGCCTACAATACGTGCATGCTTTTTATGCATGTGCGCATGTTTCATTATTATTATTAACATGGTAAGTATGCGTTTATGGTATACTGTATAAACACACAAAAGTGTGTTTTTGTGTATGCAGGTATGCATGCCATTTCAAATATCCTTGGCGAAGGATATGCATAATATTAAGCTACCAGATCCTATCTGAGAGCCTACCCGATCTTAAAGTCGTTCTAAAGCCATATGAGATGGATATTTGGGGCTAATTGTATGGCAAAAAGAAAGCAAATGAGTTTGTGGCCAGCTTACCCCAATACAGTACTTCAGTAGTAACTCTATTATTTCTTGAAAGCTTACTTCACGCATTATAAAAATGATAACTTCCATAAATCTTGGCTATAATATGATACAAGTCAATATTTAATGTAAACCCTTATATGTCATACAAAACTATTGCGACTAACCCGGGTTTCCGAATTAGACACATGAGTGAGAAATAAAATGACTATAAATCACAAATAATACGGTTCGAATGAGATG